CCGTTCTTATGCCCCAGGCCAGCTATCACATACGTTCCGCACACCCAGGTCAGACACACTCTCATAACACCATGTAATAATGTAATAATAGCTCATTTTTCCTGACCCTAAGGCGATGGAGAAACGTGCTTTTAAATATTTACTATGAATGGTCTCATTTGTCACTGGTGAAAACTGGCTGTTAAGAAGGTTAAGAAAATACTCATTAAATATTTACTGCCATTGTAAAGGCTCATTAAAATGTATAGCAACTTGTAGGTACAATAAGCTGTCCTAGACCACATTGTCACAGACTACAGCAACAGCGAGCAGCTACACTCTGTACAGTGATACTCTGCACATCACATTTGCATACTGCAAATTATACACATTTATTAACAATAGGAAGCTTTGCTGCAGACAGGCCCATTGTTTTTGTTGTGTCTTGTTGCTGCCCCCTGGTGGTTATAATTGATAGTGCTCCCAGAGTCACTGTATTACAATTTAAAATACAAAACCGTAAACAGCTAAACATCTTTCAGATACTTTTCACTGTATAATTTAATTTCAAATTCAAAAGATCTGAGTTACATACTAAACTTTATTACTTTTATAGGTTTATTAGTATTACTTAATTTTATTTAAACTTGAAAATAAGGTAAAGAGACCACGTCCATATTTAACTTCACAAACACTGAAGGAAATCATGTGTGGGATGGATGTGTGAAGGACGCAGCCGCCTGTGCAGCTCCTTCACCGTCAGGCTCTTACCGGCTCCTCACACTGTGAGTTCCTCAGCCTCCTGGCCATGTCCAGGGCTGTCTCCCCATTCTGATTGACTGTGGGCACAGGAGCAGTGAGTCATGATGATGAGGTCATCAGTAGCCAATCACACTGCAGTTTACCACACGGCGTACGTTTGCTGGCAGGCTTACCAATGTCTATCGCCGGCTTGCCCCGCAACAGCAGCTTCACACACTCATACTTGTCGTACAGGCAACAGTAATGCAGGGCGGTGTTGCCGCTGTCCGTCTGCTTATCTAGGTTGCCGCTGTGGTGCAGGGGGCGGGGGGGGGGGGGGGATGGTACAGGGGGGAGCAAGGTCAGCACACTCGGGCCCCGATTCGCTAAGCCCCAGGAATTGCTCACTCCCATAATCCCGCCTGATGGAAGGACTGCAATGTGACTCAGAGACTGCAGCAGGAGGGAAGGTCCATCTCGTAGGTGGTTCTAGACCCTATTTAGGGGGCTTCAGCCACCCTATTTATTGTCTCACCACCCCCAACCTCCCCCCCCCAGACAAAACTTTTCTAAAACCATTTTGCAAATTTCCCCATATTTTCGTACAAATTTTGTACCCCGAACTCGGCAAATTAAATTGTTGGAAACCTGAAGAGTTGCGTCCCAAATTTCTTCAGAAAGCCAATCTAGGGTCAAATCCTACAACTGCCGACAGACACCCACTCTGCCACACAAAGACACACATGGTATTTGACCCTATCACAGCAGTTCTGATCCCACAACAGGGACGCCCAGGCCTGTGCACACACAGACACACTGTTTCTGCAATCAGTGGGGATGGATCGCTATGCGAAGGACGATCATCACCTACCTGTTCTGCACGAGGAAGTCGACTAGGTGCAAAGAAGTCTGGTCCGCGGTCCGCACCGAGAAGTGCAGCGCAGTTTCTCCAGACTCCTGTAGGGGGTAAGGAGTTATAGAGATCCGGAGGGAGAGGCTACGGAGATCAGCACCACAGGACTCAGGAGGGAGGAGCTATAGAGGTCAGCACCGTAGGACCAAAGAGGGGAAAGTGCAGTAATCACATTCAGAACCCCCTGATCCTTACCAGAAAGGCTGGTCTCAGATCAGTGATATCTAAGCAAGACCAGTATGAGATGAGTTCAGTGCAACAGGCACAAGGAACTGGTAGCTTCTTATGAAGCCACTCATGCCCAGGAGGAGGAGCCTCACCTGCCCCACTTCTGGGAGGGGCTCCATTAGCTCCACCCCCTCGGCATACACCTGGATCAGGGCCAGCAGGTCCCGGGACCTCACGGCCTCATACAACTCGCTCATTTTGTCGGCCGCCGAGGTGCAGGTCTTGCGTGCAAACTTGTGGTCCACATACTTGGTTGTGATGAACTCCTTGCGCACCGTCCTGTGGGGGTGCGGGGGGGGGGAGCGGGGCAAGATGTCAAGCGGGCAAATCAGCTGACTGTGCGAAGGCCCCGCCTTCTGGTAATGAACAGATATCTGCACGATACGCTCGCTCTCTCAGTGTCTCAGCTGAGCCAAGCAGTACTTACATGTCACTCGACGGAGTGGGCTTTGGGGAGGGATAAGGTAGGTTCCCCTCCAGGATCTCGTTAAAACTGCTGTTTCCTACATTTTTGGCCACCTGTAGGACAGAAGCACAAAAGCAGCTTTCGGAGTTTTCCCCAAGCATTTCGTCGTACATGCACACACTCTCACCAGCTCTGAAAGCACCCTCTGCTCCGACACCCAGGGCGATGACAGACTGGACTGTCCTGAAGCGGGAGAGGGTCACACTCACCAGCAGTTCAGAGGTGCCCAGCTTGTCCAGCTCCAGGGACTGGATGCGAGAGATGTGGACACCCATCTCTCGGTGGATCCCCGAGCACTCGATGCAAGTCAGGATGCCCAGGTTGGTGGAGAGCCATTTGGGGTCTGCAGGGTGCAGGATGACAGGAACCCAGTCAATCATGAACTTCCGTGTGATGCAAGCCCAGTCTTTCTCCAACAGGCGTCACTGCCCTCTCGGGACAGCAGGTTAATGAGGTTAATGGCTCGGACTAGGGTTCGTTAACCACAAAAAACAAAAAAAATACATCAGAACTTAGCTGCACTGGTTATGCCCTTATGCTGATGGTCACTGTTGGCCGATTAATGCATGAATCATCTACAGCAGCTGTTACAATGAACAGGTTGATCTTTAAGGCAGTCAATCGGGGCAATTAGACAGGTTCACAGATTATTATCTTTGCAAAAGTACCTCTCTGTAAAAAAGATCGGAGACCACTGATCCACAATGAACTGTCAGTAGGTTTGGAGGAAAGAACCAGTCGTGTAAATAATGATTGGTACTCAACCACTAGGGGGCATCAGGCACCTATGTGATTAACTGGGCAGAGGCAATGCAGATATTTCTGAAAACGTCACATTCTCTTTGCAGTACACAGGGAATATTTAAGTGTGTGGCAAGGACTGGCAGATCTGCACAAGACAGGTATGACCCAGTCATCTTATTGGACCTAATCCCAGCATCAGCTTCTCTGATCTTATCCACAGCTCTTGCAGAGCCTCCTGGGGGGGGGGGGGGAGGGTACAGCACCACCTGCTGGTTGGTTTAGAACTCCATCCTCCAGAAGCCAAATTCAGCAGCTGCAGTCGGATCCTTAATAGGTCAGAGTCAGTAGTTAAAGGGTCACCCAGTTACACCAAAGGAGGTTAATTAGCATCGGCTGACAGTGCGCCAGGTTGCTACCCTGAGAGGAGCGCTGTAGCATTGGGCATCACTAGGTTGGGTGACGATGGCCTGCAGGCACAGTGCAGCCACACAGATACAGGCTCGCGTGTTCGGTCACTTGCCTGGGGCCCCGCAGTCGCAGCAGACCTCGTTGCCTGGCATGCGCAGCACATCGTCGATGATGACCTTGGCCAGGTCATCCAGGCTATCCTCCCCGGCGCTCTGGTCCCCCCTGAATGCCGTGTTCAGGGCCTCCTCCTTGCTGTTGGTCAGCACAGATATCCAGCTGCACGTGTGGGAACAGGGAGGAAGCTGTCAGTTGCAGGCGTGGGAACAGTGGGCGGGGCTAAGCTGAAGGTCCAGTGAAAATCGGTGCCGGTCCTCACTGTGTTTGTACAGTGACGGACAGGGAGGAGTGTCAGCCATCTCTGCAGCTCTGCAGAAGCTTCATAAACAGAACTGGCGTTACAGAACAGTCACACACCTACAATGTACAAGACAGAGTCGTGCCTGTTGAGTGTAGGAACTCTGGAGGCGTTTAGAGGTCATAGATGAATCCATCTGAAACACGTTTGGTCTCCTCACACTGTAAGAAGCTGCAATTTCCCTGGGGGGGGATATGATTCATCTAACAGCAGATGCCCCCCTGCCTGTGAGCCTCTGGGTGGCCCCGTTACGACCAGCTTGCTCTCTCAGAGGCCTGAAAGCAGCTTTCATGAAACATCACAACACCATCTCACACTGACCTATAAACATGTGCGCGATGCAGCTATTCCCAGAAGCTCACTTACATGAGGAACTCCTGCTCATCCTCTGCCTGAAAGTGGTACGTTCGGTTATCTGGGGAGAAAACGGAGGGGCAGGAACGTCACTTTCATGTCATATGGGCTTTACAGTGACAGAAATATCTCGAATGGTCGAAAGGTCAGAGGTCATGGCTGCTGATGACATCAGAGGTATTACCCAAGGCCCCCACACCAATCTCCTCTACATGAAAGCCTGGGGGTCCCCACAGGCCGGGGAAATGGCACTGTCAGCTCCACAGGAGAAGCAACACGCTACTGACAGTTACTCACGGGAAATCAGGTCAAAGCACTTTTTGTCTTCGCTGCTTGGCTTGACCTGGCAGGTGAGCAAGTTGAGTCTAACTGGCTGTCGATTGGACTGGAATGGAGAGAAAAATACTCCGTCAGAGCTCTTCAAAAAGGGCCTTCCGAGAGAGGCTACTTTTATCTAAACTTGCGTGCAGCCTGATGCAGCTTGTGCAGGTAGCCAGCAGTGTCTGGCAGCCAGCCACCGTCGTGCCACACGTCTCACCTTAACCCCCTCCATCCTCACACAGCCTTAGAACGGCTTGTCTGTGGACCGCAAACGCGTACAAGCGACACAGGTGGTGTTCTGAACTACATAATCTACTAATAATTTCCATCCGTGTTTCCATGCAAAGGAGAGTTGCTTAAAAACATATACCAGCTGTATTAGTGAATAGGTTCGTCAGGGTTTGGGCTGGGTTTTAAATAATGATGCAGCCCGGACAGAGAGCCAGCGGCCAGGGTATGACGCGTGTGTTTGAGCGACGTCTCCCGGATACAGCACAACATGGGCACAGAGCCGCCATGTGCAAGGATCTCAAAGGGAGATCGAAGCCCTATTCCCCTTTCATGACGCCGAGGAAACAGGTGGCTCTTTGATACCAAAACGGTGATAAAAACGCTCATCGATCACAGTATCAGTGCCGAGCTGCCAGACCGCCGAGGGCGTCTCACGGGACGGGCAGCTTCGAGCTGAAGCTCCCATTTGCGCTGGCACAAAGCAGAGCGGCTAACGAGGCCCTTGGACTCCAGGCCGACCTGCTGTAGTGGCAGATAATCAGGCGTGGTGATCGGTGTCTGAGCGCGGGATGGTCACTGTCAGGCGAGAGCTGCACTCACCGTGGCGTGAGAGATAGTGAGGATGCCCCCTTTCACTGAGCATTTCCGCCTCTGCCAGACCTTCCGTAACCTGGGTGGTAGGAACACGGGGGAACCACATGAGGGTGACATACACCAGAGTGTGAGCGTAAAACACATCATTACAGTGAAACATGTGTCCTGGTCCTTGGCATGGACTGCAGGATCTCCGTGACCCTGCACTAGACTGGCAAGAGGAAGATGACTGGATGGACGGACCAGCAGCTCTCTGCATCACTGGTCCACATTAAGCAAAGACGTCTTCTTCTCCTAAACTGAATGCTTTTTTTGCTCTTCTGGGGTCTTGGCCTCCTGTCAGGCAGTGCAGGGGCACCCGGTTAAAGGGCCGGAGGTGGGCTATGGCGTCCTGGGACGCCCAGCCCTGAGCAGGACAGGGATATCATTTAGAGAGGAGCAGGTGGTGAGACAGGCTCTGTAAAAACGTTACCCGGGAAGGCGTCCCAGAAAGGAAGGCGACCTCAGGAGACACAGGGAGCAGGAGCAGGAGGAAGAGGAGAACGCCTACCCGTCACTCTTCTTCAGCAGGAAGCCCTTCTTCTCGCTGCCGAACTCCTTGTTGCCCTGCAGCTGGTGCATACTGTAGCCGGCCTGCTTGCTCTGCGAGGGGGGGGGGGGGGGGGTGCGCACACACACACACACACACACACACACACGTGAGCATTAAAACGAGCTTATTCACACATCCCGTCACACATGCTGCACACACACCCACCCCGCATGCCCCCCCACAAACAACACATCTCCCCCTTTCTTTGCATCTTTGCATTTCCCTGCTTTCCCTGGCTAATTATCGGCGAGTCCCTCCCCAGCAGGCCAGGGGTGAGGATGACACCCCTCCCTCTTGTGGCGCTGACAAGCCGCTCCCCCCACAGCCCTGTGGGCACCCCCACCTGTCACAAAGCGGAGGGAACGCAGTCCCCATCTGATAGGATGCTAGCTGCTTCACATCCTGCAGACCACCACCTCAGCACCATCGCCGGCGTGACCAAACCCGTATCAGGACACACCTCCCTTTGCCTGATATCCCACTGGGGAGGCCCAGATAATTATGAACCTCATAAGAGCCTCATATCAGGCTATTTTTATGATACTGAAATCCTCAAAGATACACCCAACCGACATTTGCAGAAATAACTACAGTACCATTCTGACTCTGAGATGGCCTCACTTATCAAAGAGTCAAATTCTGCAGCTGAACACCCTCAAATCCACCTCCAATATACATCCGTCTCTTTCAAGGAGTTCGATGCCAACATAAACCAGCTATGGTACGACATTCTCACGGTGCTCCTGTGCACACACATGAAGAATGCTGCGCGTGAGCCTACAGGACAGAATGCTGCGCGCGAGCCTACAGGACAGAATGCTGCGCGCGAGCCTAAAAGCATGCAGAATGCTGCGTGCGAGCCTAAAACCATGCAGAATGCTGCGTGTGAGCCTAAAAGCATGCAGAATGCTGCGTGTGAGCCTAAAAGCATGCAGAATGCTGCGTGTGAGCCTAAAAGAATGCAGAATGCTGCGCGCGAGCCTACAGGACAGAATGCTGCGCGCGAGCCTACAGGACAGAATGCTGCGCGNCAGAATGCTGCGCGCGAGCCTACAGGACAGAATGCTGCGCGCGAGCCTACAGGACAGAATGCTGCGCGCGAGCCTACAGGACAGAATGCTGCGCGTGAGCCTACAGGACAGAATGCTGCGCGTGAGCCTACAGGACATTCACTGCATACCCAGCTGGCTCAGCTTCCACCACACAGACTCAGAACACACAAAGAATGCAAGTCAGGTATGGGACTTACTCTCCTAGACTTCATGGAGGAAAGGCAGGGGGAGAGAAAGGCAGAGTGTCAAAAGCACATAAAAGCAGGTCTTCATAGCAGATCACACAGCAAGCAACAGAAACGCACGGAGGATCACACAGCGGCCATTCCACGCACTTTATGTTAGACGCACATGTCGGTCACACATTCAGCCAGGTGCAGCATTTAGAAGTCGAATTCGCTCAGTGAGTATAAAGGTGAAAAAAAATCTGTAGAACCTTAAAGGGAACTACAGGATTGGATATTAAAGTGAAAAATCAGTGGAACCTTGAAGAAGACTGCAGGATAGGATATTGAAGTAAAAAAAAAAAAAACTGTTCTAGAATCATCTTCGCTCCACTGGAGTCATCTGGACAGTTGAAGGCATTTCATTTAACTCCAGTAACTTCACCTGCACCTTTTATGTTGATTCAAAGCAAGGAGATGTGGTTTATGGCCATTTTGTGAAAAAAAACGGATTAATTTGCGCGTTTGCACACCAATAAATACATATCCAGCTTGAGTTCTCGTGTAGAACTAATCTCATTGTACGTCTTTAAAAAATAATTGTGCACAGCAGTAGCTTAGCACTCTTCACAAACTGCCATGAGCAACACATCTGCCTTCCCACATCAAACGTGCCCCCATGCTGGTTTGTAGGGTGAGCCGGGAGGGGTTGCCAGTGGGAAGCTCTTGCCTCAGACAATGACATGTGGCCCAGCGGCAGCCTATGAGAGTGCAGCATTTGTGCACATTCCCAGGTGGGCAGAAGGATGTAGATTTCTGTAGATTTTTTTTTTTTGTATCCCACTTATACAGTATAATAACTTGCCCAAATATTATCCTTGACTGTTATACGACACAGGAGTTTTGTGTCATCAATTCATCACAGGCGTGGACTGAGCTGCGATATCTCAATGAGTATTTCATGGTTTCTTCAGTTGAAAGCAGTCTGGTACATCAGCACTACATGTCCAACTATGAGCTAGGCGGTGCTGATGTACAGAAAAGCTCTGCAGCCCTTCAGTGGCGGAAACTGTCAGGAGAAACGCCAATGTGAAGATGGTGGCGATGTGACCCAGGGGCTTCTGGTGGAGGTCAGGGCGTGGCCCTGGGACTCAGCTGGCACAGCAGGTCCCGTTGACAGAAAGAGAGAGAGGTCTTTTTGG